TCTCCCGCACCCCCCCGCGGCCCCCCGGCCCCCGCAGCCTCCCGCCGCTCTCCTCGCAGCTCCGCTGTCACCCATTTTGCAAACCACATGATTGCACACAGCTTTGCGTCAGCCTCCACACGTCAATACAATCTGTAGGCATTGAGCCATAAATTCATTTATAAGCTAAACACACGTGTTGGGTTTTTTTCTTTATGGCACAGTGACAGGCGCAGTGCCGGAGTCCCCGTGCGAGCCCAACAGCTTGCTCTGCTCCTCTCTGGAAGGAGTCTTAGGAGGCACCTTCCCTTTGATTTGGGATGGGAGGCCCCTTCCCCTCACCATCATTCAATTGCCTCTGCAGCACCTCGTTTCTAGCGCACGATCAGCAGCTCTGATATACCGCAATCTCCTGTGGAACAATTAACAAATTCTCCATGTCCTGAATTAAAAAAGTCCAAATCACAGTGACACTACGAACACTGTCTAGCAGCTACATTTGGACTGGCTGATCTCTCCTACATTTTATTTCCTCAACACCTAGCTAATCTGTAGCAAAGTATTTTAAAAGAACATTCATGAAAAGGATGTAAAGAAATGTAAATCACTGTAGAAGCATTCCCCATCTGTCTTTTTCACGTAAACAGCTTCATATATCTCATGTTACTTACCCAGAACTGCTAAAAATGGACATGTCTCATCTATTGACAGTAAACAAGCTTTTACCCATCTGAATGCAACAACATGCACTTTATTATTCACACTTAGGAAAGCTGCCAGTTGTACTCCCTGTCCAGGAAGTCTGAATGTTTGCTTTTCTATCTCCATTTGCCAAATATAATTGGTTGCTATGTCAGTTTATTTTAAATCAGATCCCATATAAAAGGGAAAAGTGGGGGAGGAGGGACGCTTTTAACTTCTCAGATTTTGGAACATTTTATCCTGTTAGCTTGCAATAGTGCCTGGAGCTGGAAAGCACTCTTTCTAAGAGAATGAGGCGACTGATGTTCTCTGTAGCACAGTTTACTTGGTTTAGCAGTCTCATTAACTCATCAGACTTGTGCATGTCCTTTCCTAAACATGGTCAATTATCCCTATTGAGACAGAATATTACATTAACAGATATTTATACCACTAAATTTTGAAGGGTTTCTGTATTCATGCACACTGAAAATTTTTTGCATCTTTGTAATACACCCAGGTAACTGTGGCCAATCTCTGCTACTCTCCCTTTGTCCTTGGGTCCTCTCCAGGCAGAACCAACACCACTGGGGAAACCTTTCAGCCACCTTTCATGTCCTTTATCAGACTGGAGAAAGGATCAAGAGTACAGTGTCCTTTTGCAGCAAAGACAGCTAAAATTCCTCCTCTGTTGCCAGGATCCTAGCTTCCCCCCTCTCTTACTCTACTACCTGTGTATCTTAGGACATCTGTATTCCATGCTGAATTGTTTCACAGAATCCAGAGTATTTTAAAGCACAATTTTGATGCTTTGGCAGTCCCTGATTTTTTCATTACTGAAATCAGCAAAAGCCCTACATGAAAAAAAGCCCAACACTACAATCACTGTTCAATAATTGAAGATTAAATTCTACTTATTTTGTAGTTCTTTTCTGACATCAACTGCTTGAGGTTTTAATGTTAATGGCCTATCAAGAGGAACAAAACAGCTCATTCATGTAAAGGTTTCTCCATGCTAGAATGACTCTGCCAGTAGAGATATACTAATAAAATTTTATCAGCAAACCTTCTTACTACCATCAAAAAGGCAGCCTTTTGCTGTATTGCATAGAGCACTACAGCAACAAAAATACCTTACTTCACACATCCCAAGTTGCCATTCTCCACCAGCAGTAGCTTTTGTCCATGCTCTGAGTATCACCAAAACACAGTTTTAAAATGAACTCATACTTTCCAACCTTTGGTCTGAATCTTGTGTTAAAAACCCAGCGCTACTTGCAACAAAAGATGAAATTTCAGAACACAGTTCAGCAACACATAAATTCTTTAACGGCAAAAGACAGACACTCCGTAGATGAAATTGAGATTATATTTTTTTTTTCCTCCTTATTTTAATAAAAGTCTGCAGCCAGGTCCAAAATGTTCCCACAGCAGCTGGATTATCTTGTCTGCCACAGCAGTCATCCTCTAAGAGACTGGCCCTGGCAGAGCCTTCACTGCACTCTGATGCAAGTTAGCTTTGTAGATACAAGATACTATGCACAGAAAAATTAAGTGAACATAAGTTCACTTTCACAATCCTTTGAAAATCTGAACCAGATAACTTCCTAGATATTTTTCATAATTTCTGTGATTCTCTGATCTGATGAGTTACAATGTCCCCTTTTCTTCTACTTTTTCTCCGGCCTTTTTCTCCATGTATTTTCATCTCTCAAACACAAAGCCAGAGCAGCTGCCCTCTCCACTACTTGTACATGGTCACTATGACTGATGGACTTAGTTAATATAATTCTTTTATGGGATTGGTCCAAGTGTTATTGTTGCTGAAGGATTTATCACATTGGCTTCCCAGTGTTCCTTGACTACTGACACACAACCTGTGTCTATAGATGGTTCTGTATAGGAACAGATTGAACTTCTACAAATGCAGGACCAACTACATTAATTTAACAATTATTTTAATATTTTGTTAATAAAGGGTACCTTTTTGGAAATTACCTTCTTAACTTACACATTTACTCACTGAAATTGCATTTACTTTTCTTCCACAATGTTTCAGTAGTATATGAGGCAGAATTGTACTATTTATACATATTATCACAACCTTTAAATTTTCCACATTTGCCTCAATTCCAAACAAGCTTCATACACAGCTGATACATTGAGAAGTATTAAACTGCTTATACAAAGTTGTTGTACTGCCAACTGGAAAAAAACCACAGTTTTGTTTTTTTTTTCCAAATTAACATAAGCTCCTCGTTCATAATATTTACAGAAGCTCTGAACCAACAGGGCTGGATTGTCACTCCGAAATAGCTTCCATGAGGTTTGATATGACGAAAAACCCCTGCAGTGGGCTACGGGAGAATTCCAGTGCTCCAGAGTTGCACAGGTTTGGAGCTGACCTCAGATTCTCCCCACCTCCCAGAGACCTCGGCAGGGTCTTGCAAGGTCAAGAGTGGAAGTAGCTGGGAGTCCAGCATGCTGTGGGGATCCTGAGATACCCCATAATCCACCAGCAGCCAAGGTCAGATCCTGCAGATCAAGGCCCCATCAGTGCCCAGACTTTGTCTGTACCACCTCATAGATTACATGCAATAGAAGGCTCCCAAAACTCCCTCTTGTTCCAACACAGTACTGTATTTCTTCTAACTTAGTTTAGTATGGAAAAAAATTCTGAGGTGTTACTGAAAAATTATCTATGCATTAAGGCTGCACCAATTCAGACACATTCCTTGTTATTTGGTTGAATGCAACTTCTACCAATTTAATGGAACAGTTGAAGACTGGAGGAATAACAAACTGGGGCAAAAATTCTATGTAATCAAGACCCAAGAAACATTTTCAAGTCTAGTTATATTCAGAATATGTCTATGTAAACAAAGCATTCTCTTAGCCATTTGCCCCACTCCTTGTACTGACCACATCACAATCCCAATCACATCAGCCTAATGCAGTAACTGCAAAAAATTTTTTAAAAAGGAGTATGGGAACCAAAAGGGATCCATTAAACTGAAACGTTAACTAAGTTTTAAATACAGAGATGCTACTAATGATAATGCACAAGCCAGGAATACTCAGTTTTCCCATGTCCCAGGTGAGTTTTCAAGATTCACATTTAAAATTATTTAGCAAATTTTAAATCATGTTCATAATGCGTAACACCTCCCTTTAGGGAAGGGCGGGTATCAGTCTGCTGATATGCACCAACAGGCTCATGGGAGGAGTTGCTGGAAAACACCCCAGTAAGAACAGAACGCAAAAAAAGAAGTCCAGGACAGCCATCGCTGGCCCCCCTCCCCTTTCCTCCCTTCTTGCAAGAGTTCAGACCACACCACGTTTCCTGTGGCCTGATCTGCACCGAGATCTGTAAGAACCCTCATACGTACCTGTGCGAGAGTAGATAAACCAGAGTGCTCCTGTTAGCAGGGCTCCAATTACAAATGCTGCAAAGGCAATGCCCACGACAGTCAGAGTGTCCAGACCGTAGAACACAGCTACAAGTTAAACACACATAATAAGGACTTCTTATTTTCAGTGGTAAATACTGTTTTACAAAGATTCACCCTTACACTTTCATGGAAATGTTTTTTAAATACACATCATTAATGAAGCACCATTTTGAAGAATGGACTAGCAGATTTGCATCAAGGAAATAAAAATGATGCTTTCAGAGACTGGCTTCAGTCCAACCACCCGTTGCACGTCACAAAGCAAAACCCCAGCTCAGCACACCCAAATCTGGAAAATGTTGCAAAATTTAAGCAGTTTCAGCTGGCTGTTAATAACTTGCTTTCAATTAAATATCCATTTATCTTAAAAGTGTGCTTTAAAAAGGCTGAGATTTTTGGCAAAAGATGCTTTTCATTTAAATGCCCCAACATTCAAGCAAACTTTCCCCTACATCTCCTGCAAGTTTAGCCTGAAATCTAGGTGGAGAACGGAACTGCTGTTAAGAGGGAAGAGATGCCAGCAAAAAGTCAGCGAAAACATAAATAGAAACAATTGTTTTTCACATTTGGCAATGCTTTCAATAACTCAAATTAATTCCAGAACACAAAAATAGAAACACACGCACACACATGCAAATCACTTTTAGGGAAGAGGCCCTTTTGCAGCACCATTTCAGGGCTAATAGCATCTGGTTCCTGGATGTATTGCCCCCCAACATTAACCCACCAGAGAAACTTTTGGCTTTTGTGTTTTTCTTTTTGGTGATTAGAAATAGTTCAAAAAATAATAGCAATCTCTCTGTTAGCAATCAGTTGCGGAAATTTCTTCTTAAAAAATTGATTTCTAGCTTCAGTATTTTTTATGTCTCCCAGTGCGCAAAATGGCTTATGCCAGTGAATAACATTTTACTGACTAAGCTGGCCAGGAAATGACTTGACTGGATCTTCTCAGTAGAATCCTTCAGTGGAATTTCAGTTTTTAAAACACAACCAACACCCTCACTTCACACGTTCCTGCATCCAGCAGATGTCCCTACGGACATCCCCCAACCCAACAGTTCCTGAGGTCCTCAGGGCCATTCCCCTTTTCCGCTTTTGACAAATGTCTTCTCCAGCAGTTCCTGGTGGCAGGGGCCTTCAGGACCCATTTCTGGGTGCCTGGACCAAGTTTTCATATGCACCACCTGACAAATAGTGGCTTATAAGGTTTTTCTCCCATTTCTTCTATGAGCTTATTTCTGATTCCTTTGGCCACATCTGGTCATCTTAAATGCAAACAGAAAAGACTCTCCTAAACTCAACTGTTTTTTCCACAAGGCACCAGTCAGTGTCCTCTCCTCTTGAGAGAAAACTTACTGGCTAGCAGAAAGCCACAGGGAGGCTGAACTGGCAGAAGCATAATTTCTCATTCCCCTCGCTATTTTGAGCAAATTTAGTCCCAAAGACATAAGGACAGGAGCAGAAGAAAAAGCCTTATTTGCACTTCCTCTTCTAACCTTCCTTTTTCTCCATTCATTCTTGTTTTTGGCTACAAACTATCTTCACCTTCCCGTTTATTATTGTCTTCTAGTGCTGCTTCTCTGCTTTTCTTCCCTTCCTGGGTCAGTAATTGACCCTGGTTAATTCACTACGCCAAGACAACAGAAAAAACCAAAGAAATTAATCCATATCAAGTCAGTGATCTCATCTCCAGCATGACCTATAAGTGCTGGAGCCAAGTGCTGGAGCCAGAGTAACTGGGGGTGTGGCCAGCTGCAGAGTAGGAGGAAGGCTTGGAGCAGGACACGGGAGCTCCGTAAGATGGTATTGCTGCTGAAACCCTGGTACTGGGAAGCAGTGGCCTCAGCAGAGAAGGGGGAAAGAACACACACACATCAGCAGATGAACTTGCTAAGTCTGAGACTCTCAGTGGTGTTTTCCCAAATCTGATTTTCACATACACAAAAGGTCACAGCCCTTCTCTCTAAATGCTGACGGGAATCTCTCAGTCAGCAATACAGTCATAATTCTCTTCTGCCCCAGAATTACACACCCACACACACCCTCTTTCAGAAATAATTTTCACTCTTTCAGAAATAATTTTTTTCATTGATCTAACACGTCCTAGACAAAAGTTTAAGGCTTAAAAGCAATTGGTTTAAGAGTTACTTACGTGGCTGTCTCACATTTGGTTTTGGAAGGGAAGGATCTAATAAAAAAAACCAACAGAAACCACAAAACATTAATCAGAGTTCTACATACAGCCTACAAACTATGCAAGCAACCTTCAGTTTCTGATCAAACAGAAAGACATTAATGGTAATTTTTACAAACCAAGAACTTCAGGAAAATCAACCCAAATTCAATAATCTTTGCTCAGCTCAGAAAAATTCTATTCGTACATTGATCATGCCTCAGGAGAACATATCTACAGTAGAGTTCATGCATCATATATTTTGCTGGCAAGTACACTGCAACCTTTCCTACCCAGACGTCATCAGGTCTGACCTGCAGTAACTATGGTTATCCCTATGTGGAGCTCTTAAAGAGCAAAGATTGCAAAGGCTGTTTTAAGGTGATTACATTCATCATCTCACAAACATGAGATAGCAGCATGTTAAATCACACACACACAAAAATTGAAGTCAAACACTGGCTATCACCTCTAAAGAAAAGTCAGTATTATGGCATGATACACACTGCTTTGTCCAAGTTGCATGAATATGTGTTGATCTACACATTTTCCTGAGTCCTACTTGGTGTTTTGTCTTGGAAGTTGCATGGTTGTTTTCTTGTGTTTTGTTTTTTAATTATATATAGGAAATAAAAGATCATAGCTATTACATCAAAGCTATTATTCTTGGCAAGAATATCAAATATCGTCATCATTATCAGCATGTAACAGAAAGAGACAAGTAAACATATGTTAAAAAATGAAGAATTTTCCCTTCTTTTGCTTAACTGGCTTCTCTTATCTTTCTCCAAGAATGCCACCTCAAGCAGAACAGCCAGAGATTCTGGCTTCAGACCTGAGGACTATTTGGTTAGCTGCAGCTTGCTTCTGGATTGCCCAGTAACCTAGGGATCTCGTTTAAATTCTAGCATATCTGAGTGTGTTCAGTGCAACAGCTGTAAAAGGATTTGATAAGACAGTATCCCAATACTTCAATACTTGTTTTTTTTATCTTTAGCAACTGAAAAAGAACTTTAATTGCTATGCAGAAATAGTAGCTCAAAAATACTGAAAATAAATATATTTCAAGTATTCTTAAACTAGACTATGCTTCTAACTTCTAAAACCCAAATGGCAGCACTAAACCACCAGCAATATCCTATAAGATCATTAGGCTCTAAGACACATGAGCCTACAATATCCAAAAAAGCATTTTATTCTTAAACTGCATTATTGTCACTTGTTCTAACACACGAGTATCTCTTCCTGATCCCTCTTGGCAGGATGGTAGGAAACAGGTGGAACAGTAGTAGGAAACAGGTGAGAACACAGAGGGGTGTGGGTGTGTGTGTGTGGGGGCCAGTGTGCATGCACAAATAAGCTGGAAAGTCATCAAGTGCACATCACAGCAAAAGCATAACAGAATGCAAGATTTGTGAGGAGGGCTGGACTGAAACCAAGGAGCATGGAGCAGTACAAACATGGGTAAGGGCACTATCAGATCGTCCAAACACTCCACTAGCATACCCCAAGTGCCGAAGAAAATGCCTTCTGAGCTGAGGGGAGAATGAATTTTCTGTGGTCATTCTGTCATTGGCCTCTCTACAGAGAATATAAAGTCTGCTAATTAATGATGGGCTGTGTAGCCCATTAGCAGTTCTCCCCAGTCATCCAGTTCTTACATATATTTTAATGTGGTTTGCTCGGAGCATCACAGAAGCAGTGGGAATCCTTGAAGTCCAGAAAAAGGATCTAATTTAAAAACATTGTCAGCCAGCCTTTAGAAATTATCATGAATGGCTATACCCTTGTAGGAGAAAGGCACTTGTTAGCTGGTCAGCTGACATACTTTCTATGACCTGTCTCCTTTTGCTGTAGAAAAAATAACCTGAAGTTTTGACACTTAGCAAAAATTTGAACAATGACATTGGTAGATTATTTCAACAGAAGAACACATATTTCCTAGCATTTAAATTGCTTTTCATTGAAGTGGGGGAGAGCATG